TTGGCATCTCTTATGTTCTTATGACATCCCAATTGGTCTCCATATATTAAAGTCTATCCATTCTGCAAAAAAATTCTTCATCTTCTTTATTATTAAGTTTCTTTGTCAGTTTATCCATTTCAGCCATAAAAAGCATTTTCTGAATCGATTCCCATTTCTCTGGTATTCTGTCCTACACCCTTCTATAACTTTAACACACACTTAGCTATACTTTTTATAATGTTTATAATGCAAATTTCCTATACTAGACAACATTCATCCTTGTGTGAAGTACATTTCACAAATATAGGCAAAGCCAGTAGATAATGGTATGAATACAATACAAAATCTTGATGCAAATATTCTTGACACTGTTTTAGGGTTGCCACCCTCCAGGTGGGGCCTGGGGATCTCCCGCTTTTACAACTGCTCTCCAGCTGACAGAGATCAGCCCCCCTGGAGAAAATGGCTGCTTTGGAGGGTGGACTCTGTGGCATTGTAACGATGCTGAGGCCCCTCCCCCCTGGATCCACCCCCAAAGTCTCCAGGTATTTTCCAAACCAGACGTGGCAACCTTTCACTGTTTTGGCTATGCTCCTAGAATGTTTACGCCGTAAGGCGTCCTAACAGAGCTATGAAGTGGACAAAGACTGAAAAGTCTTCCTTTTTCAAGTCCCTAAACAATAATAAACAATATTTAGTCTGGGGCTGCGGTGGCTCAAGTGGTTAAGACGCTGAACTGCAGGCTGTGGAAGGTCGGTAGTTCAGCAGTTCGAGACCCGAGTGTGCCGCATGACGGAGTGAGCTCCCGTCTCTAGTTCCAGCTCCTGCCAACCTAGCAGAAGCATCTTGGCTGAAGCCTTAGCACCACTGCTTGGCAACGAAGCGGAAAAAATAAAGGAAGAGATGGATTTGGCCTATCGGGCCTACACCAACTTTACGAGAAAAAATAAGTTGCCAGCTGAAGTGGTCGTGAAATTCACTAAACAACGTCTCAGGGACCAAATTTTAAGGACTACATCTGCGTCACCCCTGAAAATCGGAGATCAATTAATCAGAATTTTGAAAGATGTTCCATTTGAAATTAGAATGAAAAGAAAGGAATACAAGGGATTGACCACTTTCTTGCAAAACCATCAAACAGGATATAAATGGCTGATACCCGAAGGGCTGACGTTCAAGTTCAAAGACAAAAGAGAAAAAATTGACTCTATCTTTAAGGCCCAAGAATTCTTGAAAAGGCATGTCAGTAAAGAAGAGGGAGCAGAGCTAGCCAAGTGGATGTCAACATTAAGCGTGGACGACAGCAGCTCAGAGGGAGAGGTGAAAGACGATGAAGATGAAGGAGCGATTGGACCAAAATATAATTTGAGAGATAAAAAAGGAAAGGACCCCAAAGTTTAAAAAACTTTGATTTTATTTTTTGGATTATACTTGGAAAAAATCCACACCAGAAGGACACTACTAACAAATTAAACATTTTGTTTAACATTGATTAACAGAATGACGACCGAAGATGGACTTTATGGACTTAGAGCTTTGAGTACTAACAGATTAACTTACTAATATGAATAACACCACTCATTCTATTCTTTATCCCGCTATATACCCACCCTATTTCTTGAACTTAAAAGAAATATCTCTCCTTTTTAGGAGAGGGAATAAAGCTTATTCAAAAAAAAAAAATAGGTACCCCTTTGGTGGGAAGGTAACAGCGTTCCGTGCACCTTGGTGTCTAGCCATGCCGGCCACATGACCACGGAAACGTCTTCGGACAGCGCTGGCTCTTCGGCTTGGAAACGGAGATGAGCACCGCAACCCTAGATTCGAGCCAGGGAACCTTTACCTTTAAACAATATTTATCACTTCTTCCTTTGAAAACATGTGGATCCAAGAAACGCAAGAGATAATTACAGAGCAGGCTCCCCTAGGATGAAACAGCGGTTTCGCGTGTCCTTTCCAACTGCCGCGTTCTCTCTGTCGGTGTTTGTCACCAATCTCTTGAGGGAGCCCTGCAGGAAGGGATGACAATAGACATGGATCAACGCAGCCTCTCTCTCATGTCCCTCCAAAGCACTTTTAAAAAAAAAACTGTCTCCACACCGCAGCCAGCCTTGTGTTTTTCAGCCCTTCTTCCAGGCTGCGAGCGGAAGGACGCGCCACGAACGCCGGCCTACTCCTCCTTCCCCGCAGCCCGGTTCCTCCTCCCTGTCCGGCTACAGCTGGAAGGGGCGGCAGCCGAGAGACCCGCCTCCTGTCCTGGCCTAGGGCTGCCAAGTGGCAGCGGGGGATCTGCGAGTTTTTGCCGCGGGGACGGCGACACACGTTGCACCCGCCGTCGCCAGGATGTGACGCTACGCGTCGCTCTGGCAACGGGACGTTGCCAGAGCGACGCGTAGCGTCACATCCTGGCGATGGCGGGTGCAACGTGTGTCGCCGTCCCCGCAGCAGATCCCCCGCTGCCACTTGGCAGCCCTATCTTGGCCCGTCCCAGGAAGGGGAAGGCGAAGCTTCGCGAGAGGCGGCGCCGGGCCTTCCGTGTTCCTTGGCGGCGGGATCCAAGGCCGGGAAGGAGTCTTTTGCGTCCGGAGGCCGCCGTCCTCGAAGCGCCTCGCGTGACCGGCCGCAGGATGGACCTGAACGGGCTTCTTCTGGACGAGGAGGGCACTTTTTCCTTGGGCGGCTTCCAGGAGTTCACGGTGAGCGGCCTGCCCGCCGGCCTCCCCGGGTCAGAGGTGGGCGCCGGCCGGCCTCCTGCTTTGGGAGAGGGGGGGCTGAAAGCCGCTTCTCCTTTCCGCGCCGCTCGCCTCCACGCCCACGGGGCCCGCTCCGCTGCGCTTGGCGTCCCCGAGGCGCGCTAGCCTACGACACAGGGCAGCCCTCGGCCTCTCGGACGCGCCCCGTCCGCTCTCGTGTAAACGCGGGGCGCTTCCTAGCCTGTCGGTTTATTATATCCATGTGTCTTTAGTGGCGAGGCCTCGTCTTCATTCGTGAAGGGGCTGCACAGGAGCTTGGTGGTGGCTCCAGAAGTCTGATTAAATGAAATGAAAAGGCAGGCCCGCCTGTGTGTCTGGGCCAGGCAGGGAGGATCGCGGTGCCTGGAGATCATACAGGCCCAAGGTCACATTCGGGTACTCTTAGGATGACTGAAGGCGGCATACTTGTTTGTCGAAGTCGGGCCAGGCCTTTGTTAAAACAGCTTACAGTGGGGGCTCCCAGGGGGTTAAAAATATTTAACATCAGCATCTTGATATTTGGTGTGGTGGTGAAGTGCGCGGACTCTAATCTGGGAGGACCGGGTTTGATTCCCCACTCCTCCTCCACTTGCACCTGGCCGGATGACCTTGGGCAAGCCGTAGTTCTGATAAGAGAGCCAGTTTGGGATTTATACCCTGCCCTTCACTACCCAAAGGTGTCTCAGAGTGGCTGACAAACTCCTTTCCAGAGCCAGTCTGGTGTAGTGGTTAAATGTGCGGACTCTAATCTGGGAGAACCGGGTTTGATTCCCCACTCCTCCACTTGCACCTGGCTGGATGACCTCGGGCAAGCCATAGTTCTGATAAGAGCTGTCCTTGAAAAAGAGCACTTCCTGTCAGAGCTCTCTCAGCCTCACCTACCTCACAGGGTGTCTGTTGTGGGGAGGGGGAGGGAAAAAGAAGAAGAGATTGGATTTATACTCCGCCTTTAACTACCCAAAGGAGTCTCAGAGTGGCTGACAAACTCCTTTCCCTTCCCCTCCCCACAACAGACACCCTGTGAGGTAGGTGGGGCTGAGAGAGAGCTCTTGACAGGAACTGCTCTTTTCCAAGGACAGCTCTTATCAGAACTACGGCTTGCCCAAGGTCATCCAGCCAGGTGCAAGTGGAGGAGGAGTGGGGAATCAAACCCGGTCCTCCCAGATTAGAGTCCGCACATTTAACCACTACACCAAACTGGCTCTGGAAAGGAGTTTGTCAGCCACTCTGAGACACCTTTGGGTAGTGAAGGGCAGGGTATAAATCCAATCTCTTCTTCTTCTTAAAGGAGGCAGGTAGTTTAGAGAGTGCACTGATGGGGAAGGGGCTGCCAGGTAAGTAACAGCACAGTCTTAAACCAAGTTGCATCCTTTTAAGCTCATTGGCTTCAGTCTGTTTAGGATTACACGGTTGCTCATGCTGTAGATGGGATTCTCCTCCCTATCCTGCTCTGCAGCTCATCGGAGATGTGTAAAAAATAAGAGAATAAAGAGCTTTTTACGAACTTCCTGACTCCACCACCATGAACCTGATTTCCTCTTTCCTCCTTGGATCAGAAGTGGGCGCCTGCTAGCCTCCGGAGACAGTGGGGGTCTGAAGGCCGCTTCTTTCTGTGTTGTCAGCGCCTGTGCCCACTGCCTGGTTTGCTTTGCTTGGTTTTCCGTAGGCATGCTGTGTTCTTTGGTGTATCTTTACTTTGCCTTATGGTTATTCAGAAACATGGGCACCTCTGGCATGCTGCTGACATTGTGCTGTAGAGCATCCTAGAACTGGGTTGGGTGCTGGCCCTGGAAATTCATATGTCAGGCAGAAAATATAAACTAGTTTCAGCGGCCTGCTTCTCTGGTGTGCAGAGAGCTGTGGATGTGGGGGGGTGTAGCTTTCTGTCAGACCTCAGTGCTTAGTGTGAATGCCTAACATATCTTGCCTAAAATGGGATCCTGTTATTGCTTTTGATAGTTCAATACTAGTGAATTACAGAGTTACAGCTTTCAGCTCTCTGTGGGTTTTCTGGGGAGAAGGCAGGGGGGGCCTGAGCCTTGCCCCATCATTTTCCAGTCCTCTCTGTCAGTTTCTTCCCAGGCATCAGCAGCTGAGTGATCGGCTACGCAAGCGGCTTTACTATGGTTGGGATAAGGAAAGTGCCCTCGATAATCTCTCAAGTCCAGTTGCAGGTGAGTTGCTGGGATTGTTGCAGATCACTGAACAGGGAGGGCTGAAGGGACAAGAGCCCCGTCTGCTTATAAACAAACCTGAAAAGCTCCTTTCGCTCTGTCTTATCACCTTGAAACATTTTACATTTTAATTGGAGACCAACTGGCAAAATCTTTAGGAACTGCTTTTTTGATGTTGGTACAGTTTGTTCAGTGCTGAGATTCTCTTGCCCCTAACCGTCCCCCCCTTTTCTTTGTTTCATGTAGCCCTGACATGCTCTGCCTTTTAAAAAGTTCTTTACATTTGTTTATTTAATGTGTTCCTGCTTCATTCCAGTAGGTTTAGCATTCACTTCCTGCTTTGCTCGTTTGTCAGTATAGCTGACTGTTGAAGTGCCTCAGATCACTGCAGGGGTAGGATGTTGAGTCATGTGTGGGAAAGCACGTGCTTGGTGAGACTGAACAAAAAGGAGGAGGAGAGAAAAATGGGGGGGGGGAGAAGTGAGCCTCCAAAGAGGATCTGAGTGAATGGGTGTCTTGTATTGGAGCAGGTGGTCCTTCGGATACTGTAGATGCATACTGTTTAAAGCTTTCTAGCTCAAAGTTTGTTGGTTTTGGAGTTTGTCTTGCTGCAGGAGTTTGGACAAACTGGAATTTCTGGGAGGTCTTCAGAGTCAGCCCCATTTAGGATATATTGTTAAAATCTAATCTAGTGTAGGAGTCAAGTACCGAGAGAGGCCATTATGAGCTGGAGTATTGTCAACAATGCAATGCTCTCAACTCTGGCTGTAATTTGCATTTAGTACATCTGCTTGTACCTGTCATGTGATTAGTTACCTGTAATGTTTTCAAGAGAGATGATCACTTCTGTATCAATCAACCTGACAGTTCAAACATCAGCATTTGGCTACGTCATAAATGTAACGCTATGGCCTCTTTCCCGATGTGCTATCCAAGTGTTAAAGAATAACATGGGGAGAGTTCTGCTGTTCCCAAGCCAAGATGAAAAGCTTGAGACCCACCTTTGAATATCAGTGCGAACTGATTTAACTGCTGCCAGATGGAAGCAGGGAGTCTTGCTGTTCTTCGAGAAACATCTTTTGGATCACATTCTTGATTGACGTATACTGGTCCGGGGTGGGGGTCAGTGGTCCAGTTTCCTTCAATGTTAGCTTATAACCATCTGGCACAAGTTTTCCAAGCATGGCCTACTAATGCCATTGGGACCTATAGTGGGCCAGGGACGATCTTGCTGCATCTCCTACCTGCTGCTTTGTTACTTATACTGATCTGAAGATGTTGTAACCTGCTTGCCTTCACGTATGTATGTGTATGTAGGAAGATAGATTTTGGCCCCGGTCACAAGGGCCGGATATCACAGGGGGGATGCGTGGCTAATTGCCCCGGCGCAGTTTGATCCGCGATTATGCGATCAGACGCGCCGGCGGCACACCACGGGTCCTTCCCTTGGCGCCGGCGGGTAAACGAGGGACCAGAGGGGAATGCCGTCTACCGGCGCGATCACACCACGGGAGTCTGGAGGCAGCCCGTGGCAAACATTTACTAGTACCTTGGAGGTATTAGTTTTGTAACTCGCATTGTCAGCGGTAAGCCACGGGTGCGCTCCACTTCCAAGATGTTGGGGTGTGATCGTGCCCGGATAATCCACCCACCATCCGTGCCTCTCCCGCGGCAATTTTGCCATGTGACCAGGGCCTTTGTTATTTTAATGCACCTACTTATTCTTTCCTCATGCCTGAACCACTTTTTAAAATCTTTTCAATATAGCCTGTTGCCTTTATTGGTGTGTTCTACTGTATATGTGGGAGTCCAAACCCAGTTTTAGTCAAACAATGAGAAGGGGTTTTGTTCCATGGTCCCAGGTCTGGTAGGTTAGAAACCCTCGTCTTTGACAAATGTCCAGTTGTATTTCACAACATCACTAACTCTATTTGAACTTACCTTTATTTAGATTAATGGGTGTTACTTAGTTTGCTCTGGATCATAGGCAGCTGTAGATCTTCACTGCACAGCCACACAGTGTTTCATATTGCATTCCAAATGGGTAGAGCATCTGTGGAAGAGTGATTGCCTCTCTGCCTTTCAAGGCCCCAAGCCTAATGCCATGCTTTCTCTGCCAGGTGGACTATGCAGGGAAGCAAGACTTAAGTCACTTGGAGGGGGCACTGATTTCCATTATACACGAGGGCTGTTTGTGCTAGAACACAATTATGCCTTAGGGACAAGGGACTTTATGCATAATTGTGAACATTGTTACTTTGTACTTTCTAGATATTGCTGTCGAATTGCTCCAGAAAGCTGCGCCTAGTCCCATTCGTAGGCTCCAGAAAAAATATGTATCTCATGTCTCCCGGTATGATTTGGAATCCTTTTTTCTTCTTCTGTTACTCTTCTTTCTAGCCCTGGTCTTTGCACATTTTCCATACATATGTGCATACTCCTCTGGGAACTGGGGACTAATACATCCTTGAATGTATGCATTTATACATCCATGCCAACTTCAGAACTGCTGGAGGAGTAAGGGGGCATTCCAGTTACAAAGAAGGAGGTATAGAACCCTGTGGGGAAGAGAGACACTGCAAGAAAGTTGTCTATACTAATTGTAGAGAGCTTGATATTCTAATTTCTGATTGCGAGAGAATTTGATGTTCTTATTTCTAGGTGAAAGAACCTGAATGCTAATCAAGGACAGTGATTGACAGGTCAGAGAGTGAAATGTGGAATACACTGGCTTCCATTAGTGATCATGGTGTTAATATAACCCTAAGATTTTTTTCCAGTTGCACAGAGGATCTGTCTTCTTACAGAGTCCAGGGAGGCACAGTTTCCTGTCCTGCTGTGAGCAGCACATTGATGCTGATTTGCCAGCCCATTCTCATTAATACGTCCATATTTTTTTACTTGTGTTCACTCCTTTTTGTGAGGTTGAAGGGAGCTTGACTGCAGATTTAGTTTAGAGACTGGATAACTGCCAAGTTACGGTATAACGAGCATCTAACAGTCTAAGGCTGCGGTCACACGGAGCATTAGCCACGCTACAGAGATGGAAGATAGGCGGATTTTCCGGGCGCGATTACAGCGCCACATCTGGGAAGCATAGAGCTCCCGTGGCGAACCGGAGGCTTCCTGCTGAAGATGCGGGGTAAAAAACTAGTACCTCCGAGGTACTAGTTTCCGGAAGCCACGGGGCAAGAGCGGGTGCCTGATCGCGTTTCCGGTGGTAGGTCATGGCATCCAGCACCCGCCCATGTCCCGTCACTAAAAGGGTTTTTTCCCCAAGTCTCCACGGGATGTGCACAAGCACCCAACGGCGCATGCGCACAATTCGTTTAAAAACAAACAACACAGCCCCCTCCTCTTTTCCATACGGGGGGGTATGGCTCGGCTGCACCGGGCGGCAGAGGGGGAGGTGCAGGGGGGCGTGGCGGGAGGGTGGCCTGGCTGAAGCTCCTCCTGGAGGGGACCGGACGGAGGACACAGTTTGCATTCCTCTGCAGCCCTGGAAGGGGTTAAACCCGCAGAGCCTTTTGCTAGAGAGGCTGCTTCTTTGCCGCGCCGCAGGATTGTCCCCCCTAACCACAGGACCTCGATGGGACCTCGACGGGATGTCTGATCGCGCAGCCGTGCATTATTTTGCTCCGGGGCAAGCAGCCACGCTTCCCCCCACATTTTCCTGCCCGTGTGACCGGGGCCAATAGATGGCTGAGCCTGCGTGCAGGGAGGGCGGGATATAAATGGAATGAGAAAAAAAAAATTAGTCCCAAGGAAGCTTTGAATCAGTCTTGCAGAATGATGTTTTTTTTCCAAGTCCAAGAATATTTCTGCAGTGGGCCCTGGTTTAAATTATCTGCCTTATGGGCTGGTACAAACAAGGTTTGAATTGATGTCTTTCAATTTTTTTTGTCCCAGGGAGGCTTGCATTTCTCCCTGCTCCATGATGTTGGCCCTGGTTTATATTGAGCGGCTTCGGCACCGTAATCCTGAATACCTGCAGCAGATCTCATCCTCTGACCTCTTCTTGATCTCCATGGTGAGCAGTTAGGTTAGGACGGGCAGGCAAGTGGCTGAGACTGTTTGCTGAATATTTTATGCATATACAGTGCTATCAGTGGCACGTCACAGCTGTAATGAATTGAGGACAGAAAGGCCAAAGATTCCTTGTAATGTCTCAGATCTTTCACTAAATTTGCTTGAGCTTCTATGGCCTCTCCTTGACGAAATGACTTTCTCAGGCACTCAAAAGCACACACACACCCCTGGCATTTAAGACACCATTATGCAACCATGTGCTTAATGGAGATTTCGGAAGAAAGGATAATCTTTCTCTTCCTGCCCTCAGTCTCCCAGGTAAAACCCAAGTCCCTGGACTGGCTCATGGCCAGACCAGCTGATCTGGTGTGTCCAGGTTCATGCAGAGGGACAGGACCTTTGGGAGAATCTATAAATCTCTTCTTCCAGGAATTTCCCTGGAATCTGCCAGCAGAACAGCTCTTGCTGTTGGGATGTGTGCCCTCGTGCTGGGGAAACATGGACCATGCCAGCCTGTTTTTTCTCCTTTTGATTGCGTGTCCCAGGATTTCCTGCCTTGAGTGCCTTGGTATCACTTCCTTCATCTGTCTAACTTTTGTTCTGCTACTTGTTTTCTTTAATAATTTCTCTTGTCTGACCTGTTAATATGAGGTTGTGGAATTCTCCACACTGGCCATGCAGACATTATTATAGATCCTCTCCTTTATGGCTCTGATGCACAGGAGTGTTGATCTTGAGCATGGGGTTTTTCCTCCATTCTTACAGGTTGAGTGGGCATTGCCTTCATCTTTATCCTCATAAGAAAATGTATCCAGCCCCAAACCTTCCGTCCATGCCACTTAAAACCACCCTCTTATATTGCTTTCAGATGGTTGCCAGCAAGTACCTGTATGATGAAGGGGAAGAGGAGGAGGTCTTCAACGATGAGTGGAGTGCTGCAGGCAAGGTGGAAGTACAGACCATGAACACACTGGAGATGAATTTCCTTCATGCCATCGTAAGCCTCCTACTTTAGATGCCATATGATGGGAACTGGGTAGCTGTTATAGTTTAAGTTCAGATGAGCCCAGAGGGATTGGTGCATTTAGAGGGCCCTTGTTAAGAGTAGAGAGTTGCATGTTGTATATATAGTACAATTTTCAAGAATCTTAGCTGTTATGTTAAGAAGTGTTGATTATTATTGATTGTCAAATTGGGGGGGTGCGGGTAGAAATCTGGAAGAAAAAGCTCGCTACTTAGGGGGAGACTCCTTACCCGAATGAATTTTCTTGAAAGTTGAGGCTGCTTCTTTTCGTAAGATATGAGCAGCATGGAGACATGGATGTTTTATGCTTCCCTCCCTAGTTTTCCAGTGGGGAATGTCTTGCAGTGCATGTGCCATTAAAATAAGGTTAATGTAAGCCCTGCCTTCCTGCGAGTGAAGTGATAAGTAGATAAATCTAGCACTCGGGCTCAGTCATTCCTTTGTTTTCTACAGGACTGGAGCCTCTACACTGATCCTAAGGAACTTTTTGAAGTGCTCAGCTGGCTGGAGGGGCGGTAGGTGCTCCTGGTTTTTGTGTGTGGGTATTAGAATGTCATTCTGTAGCCTGACACATAAGGAATATTTTTACCTCCTGGCTCTGTGGGGCAGTTCTGTTCCATCCTAGACTAGCTTAGGTTGGCCAGAGATTTCTAAGCAAGGGAATGTGGCTGGGCAGAATAGCCAGATCCTCAGCTAGACTGTGCAGTAGGTGTTGCTTCAGAGAGCAGCATTCTGTCTCTATCCTTCTACTCTTCATAAAAGAATGGAGAAGTTTTCAAGATCCAGAAGAAGCAGCCACATGAATTGAGTGGTTGGAAAAAAACCCAGAAGAACACATGAAGCCCTGACCTGAATAACCCAGGCAAGCCTGATCTCTTCAGATCTCAAAAGCTAAGCAGGGTTGACCCTGGCAAGTCCTTGGAAGGGAGACCTCCTTGGAATACCAGCAGTTGGGAGGCGGGGACAGGCTTTATTCCGCCACCTCTCTGAATATCCTCCAGGCCCCCAATAGGGGTCAGTCACCAGAGGTCACCATGACTTCCAGGAGCGCGTGCGTGCACACATACACACACAAGAAAAAAATACAAAAAAATACCAAAGAAGAACACAGGCAAACTTTTTTTTTTTACCCATCCAGAGAATCTAACTGCTGGGTGTAGTATCAATGTCTGTGTGTAAATAAATTTCAAGGACTGGCACTCTGAATTAATAGTCGTTCTAGTGGGGTGTCTCTGGAACAGTATTCCAAGTTCCTGGAACAAAGAAAGTGGGGTGTCAGGCTTCCCCACAGCATCAATGAAGTACACTCTTGCAGAAAGGTTTTACTTTATTTGAAGCTATAGGTGCATGTACAGGATCACTGTTAGGAATGAGGGGGGAGCAACGAGCATGACAGGTTATAGTCCATTCAAACTGGTGAGGCCCAATTGCGGGACTTCCCGCGCGCGCCATCGGGCCTGGGAGCAAACGCTTCTAGGCGGCATAACATATCTCCTTCCCATGGCCCTCCGTGAGATCACCCAAGCAACTATCCAGCAGCAACCACCTGTGGCCTTGAGAGATATAGACGTTCCAGCAGCTAAGCAATTAAGCGCATCAACAGGTCTACATATGAAAGCGAAAGCAATCAAGCGCATACATGGAGAATCAACAGAAAAGAAATTTGGCAGCTTGCTGACATGGGGTCAGGACCAGTGTTCCCTCTACGCTGAGCTAGTGTGAGCCAGCTCACAGTTTTTTAGCCTCTGGCTCACACGTTTTTGTCTTCGCTCAGGAAGGATGGCTCCAGAGCAAACTAATTTATGCAGTAACCAAATTACTTGCTCACAACTTTAATGCCAGCAGCTCACAAAGTGGAATTTTTGCTCACAGGACCCCACACCTTAGAGAGAGTATTGGCCAGGATGGATATTTCTGTCCTGTGGAAACAAATCCTGCTTGTGGTTGAGGCTGCTGCTAGCATATATAGGGCTGTGATGGGGTGCTCCTGGGACACCTGAGCTTTAATTCTTGTTTCTCTTCCATCCTGCAGTGTGGCTGAGAAGCAGGGCATCCAGCGTGGCTGGTTCACCTACACCGACCTGTGTGTCTTAATGGAGCAAGCGCTGTGGCAGCAGGCGTGGGGTCAGTTCTACCAGCAGGTGGCCAAGGTGAGATGAGACAGGCTCTGACCTGCATGAAGAAAGGGGAGCAGCCATGGGGGGGGGGAGGAAATAGTAACCAAATTGATGGGGACTGATCTGTCATGTTCATGGGGGAGAGGGATATTGTATGTAGGTTAATTCCTATTGGATATGATATGCATGTGAGAGTTTGTGTGTATATTATTGCCTGATTAAAGATCTGTCTATTAATTTATTTCATGTCTAGATTGCTTTTTCACAAGGCCTCCAAAGCAGTTTATAATAATGAAACAAAAATGAAAACAAGTGATAATATACAAACAGTTCTTTGAAAATCTATTTGTCACATGTTTTTAGCCTGCCCAAAGTATAAGGAAGGGGCTGTGGTGGCTCAAGTGGTTCAGACGCTGAACTGCAGGCCGGAAGGTTGGTAGTTCGGCAGTTCGAGACCCGTGTGCCGCATGACGGAGTGAGCTCCCATCTCTGGTCCCAGCTCCTGCCAACCTAGCAGTTCGAAAGCAAGAAATTGCAAGTGGATAAATAGGTACCACTTCAGTGGGAAGGTAACAGTGTTCCGTGCACCTCGGTGTCTAGTCATGCCGGCCACATGACCACGGAGAAGTCTTTGGACAGCGCTGGCTCTTCGGCTTGGAAACAAGTCAGTTGTCAGGAATGACAACAATGTGGATCAACGCAACCTCTCTCTAATGTCTTCCAGAGAGCTTTGTCATTCCTGTCCTGCTTGTGCCACGGCAAGAGATTGGTGACAAACACCAACTGAGAGATAGAGTTGAAAAAGACATACGAAACCGCTTTTTAATCCTAGGAAAGTGTGTTCTCTTTATCTCTTATATTCCTTGGAACTACATGTTTTCAAATGAAGGAGTGATAAACACTGTTCGGGAACTCATATAATGAGGACTTCTCAGTTTGCTTTGCACACTTTACAGCTCCGTCAGGATGTCTCAAAGAGTCAACATTCCAGGAGCTCAGCCAAAACAACATCAAGAATAACTACATCAAGATTTTGTATTGTTTTGTATTGTACTCATATTATCATTTACTGGCTTTGCTTATGTTCATGAAATGTACTTCATATATAATGAATGAATGCTAGTTAATACAGGAAATTTGTTATAAGGAAATTTGTTATAGTAATACAACTAAGTGTGTTAAAGATATAGAAGAGTAATTTTCTTTGGTGTGCCCTATTTTTCCTATTGATCTCAGCAGAAGGCACAGTGTGTAATGACATGCCTCTTTTCTTCACACAGCTGGCTTGCATCCTCGGCATGGTGTACCTGACAGGTATTGCAGCTGTCCTTGCCTCGGCTGCTGTGGTGCACCACTCTGTACACGTGAAGAGGGCTGATCCTTCTGAACTGGCAAACGGTAGACCTGCCCTGGCCCCTTACCTGCCTCTCCCATCTTCAGTTCAGCGTCTGGATTGCAACATGGTGCTCCCTAATGGCTCCCCGTGCCCCGGAACAGAGAATATGACCTTGCATGGTGAACAGCAGCACGAAGGGAACAATGGCGTCATGGCTACAGCCCTCTACATGTGGGGCAGTGTCCTCACTGCTCTGTCTTCCGCATCACCCGCTCCCATCCATCGCTCGTTTTGTCCACACTGCGGTCAGCCCAGCCTCACTTGTGGGGCAGCCAATCACACAGCTTCCAACAAGCCTTTTACTCAGCCAGCTCCTTCTGGACTTGCTGCTCACTGCACCAGCTGCACGTGCCGGGGCTGGCGTCTTCCCGTGTCCCACAGTTGCAAAGCTGCAGCAGTGCCCCTCGCAGGCTGCCTTGGAGCTCGGAAGGATCAAGGCCTTTATGTTCCCTAGTTAGGTTAGGTTTGGGGGAGTGAGATCTGGGGCACCTTGATAAGGAACGCTATGAGTGTTTGAAGGGTATAAAAATGCAAGGTGGGGAAAGGCTGTGAAATGGCAGGGCCCTGTCAGTCTTTCTCCTGTTTGATACCAGCTCTCGTTTTTAGGCCATACTTGTTTCTGCACCCACTCTCCTGCAGCACGTTGGTAGCTGTGCTCAAGAGCCACCGAGAGTTTGCTGAAAGGATGCATCCCATCTTGGGAACCTACAGTAGGAGCAGGGTGAAGACTGAAACAGTGAGGGCCGGGGTCAGTCATAATCCTCCTTCACTTGAGCCAATAACTTCCCTTGGCAAGCCTGACTTCCCTCATTAGGTAAAACACAGGGTGGGTTTAGACATTTGAGCTGGTGTGGTAAGTTGTAGGAAGAAATGGTTTTTGATGATAAATGCCAGCAATTCTACACCCTCGGGGTATCAAGCAATAGCTGTATTTACTGCGTAATTAACATAGCTAGCGTTGGGCATCATGCATTGTCTCCTAGCTTGTGTGATAGCTTCTTTGAGGCACTAGGAAGGAATTATCTGTGATGACTGCCTTCCACAGTGACAAATGCCAGCAATTCTACATCTTCAAGCTATCAAGTGATAGCTGTATTTATACCACACAGTTAGGACAGTTAATAACAGTGAGTTTCCACATTATGCTAACACTGATCTAGTGTGTCCTACTTGGGCAGCCATTCCTAAGAGCCATGCAGGATTAATCTGTAATTTTCTTCAACCACAGCACTGGGACAGAAAGGGGAAGACCCAGTTACGTAAGGTTAATTTTGGTGCTTTGGTACCCCTGCCTGATGTTTTGCGAGTGCTTGACTGCCCAGTCTAATTCTTTGGGTGAAAGGGGGTGGAGGGGTGGCAGATAGTTTCTACTTCAATATCTTGCCAGCACTTTTTTGCTGTAGTTTTTCACTTAACTTCTTGTAGTAATAAAAATAGTTCCTGGTGATGTGTTCAGGTCTTGGATTGTTGTTGTTTTTTATTACACTGACCCCAGGTACCAGAGTCTTCCTGCTTGGTGTTGGGGAGATCTGCAATACACTGATTCAACTTCTGTTCACAAAACATGCATATTTAAAGAATTGGAACACCTGGGCAAGGAGTGACATGGTTATATGGATGACTTGGGATTCTAGTAGTGGTATGGCTTGAAAACTGCAGGAACAGATTAGAGCAGTCCTGTCTTCTATACACTGTAACCTTTGCTCAAGGCAGTGTTTGGCCTCTGGCACCATATATGTATTTGAAACCTGTGCAGGTCTCCTTCAATTATTTTTAAGTTAATTGACATTCTCAAGGAACTGAATTCTGCTCTGCTTTCATGATGTATGCAATCGCTGTAACTTAGCAACCCACCTCTGCAGAATCAAAAGTGAGTAATCATTGCTTCTTGCTACAGTGCAGTTACCTATAATTGAGAATTGCTTCTTGCTACAATGCAGTTACCTATAGTTGAGAATTCTGCAACTAGCACCAAAATACATCTGTTAAGGATATGAGTGATTTACAATATTTATATTCAGTCTCTCCACCAAAGTGTTTGACGACAATACAAATCAATAATGCTGTACAATACAACACTTTAAGAAAATACTTTCGCCTAAATTATTAAAAATCCACATTCTCAGACAAATATAAGCCAGTTATGAAGCAGTAACTCACGAATGGCAGCTGACTAAAAACTGAAATATAACCACCCAGGAGCAAAAAAGGAATATTTTGCCTTTCCTCTGCATCATGGTGTCCTCTATCAGGCCCATATACTCTCCTACTCAATCCCATCTTTATCCACAAATATTGCCCTGTCACTCCCCTCTGCTGGGAGGAAATGGAGGTGGGTTCTTCTAACAATCTTCATAGAAAGAAGCTTTGGAGAACCCTTAGTACAGATTCATGGCACTTCATTACCCATTGCTTCTTGTGACAACAAATGGTCTCTCCCTTCAAACCATGCATGATGTACCGCTTTGGGGGCTAATACTGATGGGTAGGTATCCTTTCCAGAGTCTCAGTGGCCCTCACTTTCATAGTGTATCACCACCTAAGACTACCTGGGTTGGTGCTGACTGTGGGCTAAGACAGCCTTGTTTCCTATGCCAGTTTCAAGCTAAACCAGTGGTACTAGCAGTAATATGAAACAAACAGAACCATTTCCTTCTGTTCTATGGCTGTGGGTGGTGCACCTTTTGTTCTCTGGCCACAAAAGCTGCATCAGTGCCACAAATGGTGCCCAAAGGGGAAAAGGTACTTATTGTCACTCGGTATGGTCTGATGCGGTTATTGCTTGACACATCAGGTTTAAGCTAGGGAAGCTCTGTATATGTAACTAGTGCAGCTCTGGTTCCACTCCTGCTCAGTCATGCTTTCTACCCCTATGCACAGGGGTTGCTTACTGGCCAAGATGAGTTAATGGCTAACTGTCTGAGCTAATGTTTCCCAGAAGGGCCAAAGGTGGAAGTTCAGATCCAAATGGCCGGTGGAGGGAGAAGGCTACGGGAAAAGAGGAGCTGGAGAATACTTCATTGTTAGGCCACTTTCCGGGCAGAAAGCAACACAGAACAAAGGGAAAAAGAACCAGTGTGAATGAGGTCAACATGACTACCCAAAGCATCCTTCCCTGTGCTTACACTGGGCCCAACTCTCCTCCCTGGTCCCTGAGTGTCCTGTTGGCCTTGCAGGTAAGTTGGGAGATGGCGCAATAGCCGAAACAAATCTTGTCCTGCTAAGAGGCACAAGGGGCAGAAACAAAGATGAGTATTTCTAAGTGGTGTGGCATATGCCATTCAACGATGTCGTTCTTGAGTCTTGTCTGATCGGCAACAGTCCTGATTTGCAGGTAACAGGCCGAGGCTATAGGTGGGGTGAGGACAGTTGAATGTTGAAACTGAGGGACTGCACTTTAATGGGTTTCACTAAGGAAAAGAGTGGAGCTGTGGGGTCTGCCTGAGAGGCACTGACATATCAGGCTATGGTTCTGAAAGAGGGCTGAGAGATATCATCAAGCATGGTGTGTGGTGGCATCTTCTAGGCGGGGATCTAGGCTTATAGATTTACTACTGTTGAGACTGGGGCTCATTCCACCTTGTTGCTCCTTCCCAGCATCTCCTGGTCCAGGCCTCCTTTCTCTGCATCTTTCACTTGCTCTTCCTAGCCACACTCCCTCCCAGTAAGCTGGATGGTTTTCAGTGCTGGAATGAACTTCTGGCGCGCAACTTCTTTGCCTGTGGCATCTCTACAGCATTACAATGTGGACTAGGTACTAGGTAAGCTGATTTTGGCCAATCTCTGATCCTATTCTTAGAAGCTAAGCAGAGTGGGGACGGGATGTTTTAGGTCCTGGGAAATGCCTATTTCTGTTTGGCTTCTGGCTAATAATTCTTAATATTTCTTAACCCCCCAAATCCCTCTAGCAGCTTGATCTGTCCATTGTCATCCCTGCAGGTTGCCATTGGTTCAAGCACCATCTTTTGAGTTCCTTATCCCAGCCATGGTTCTGACCCAACATACAGCTCCCATTCATCAGTCAAAAGGAAACAGTGAGTTATGGTTACAATACCCAACCTGCTTCCAGATACTTGGATTTTTTAAGGACAGGTCATTATTATTGGAAAAGGGTTGTCGGAGTTGTTGATGCCTCTGAGTCTTGGATTCAGCAGTGGTTTATATCACATTGAAGAAACAACTTTCTGTGGTCACTGTTTTTGCACTTTGTGTTCTAAAACTAAGCAACTACTTCATGTTAGATCAGGCTAAGGTGTGTAACAGCATAACAATTGCCTTATTGGATCAATACAATGTATGTGTAGTTCAGCATTCTTTTTCCAGCAGCAGCCAACCATGTGCCTTTAGAGAAGTGAAAGCAATAGAGATCTTTTATACTCTGCTCCCGGTATATGAGAAAAACTGTTTTTTATTCACCTTTGCTGAACCTTTCCTACTTCTCTGACTCACTCAGTGTTTTTTTTAACGTAAGTGATCAATAGGATGCAATCACCATGTGCCACATGTGACTGGTTTTAACCCCTCCCTGGCAGCTCATATGCAGACATGGATCCCCTGCTTTCTTTCTCTCCTCCATATCTTTCTCTAGGATCCCTGCAAGCTTCATATAGCTGCATTCCATCCTAACATTCTACAGATCCCATTCTCAACATCTGTGATCTTAAGGCTAGCTTGATTTCTGGGTTCCTCCACTTTTCTTTGTTGTCTTCTTTATTTCCATCTCTCTCCAATTCACATATGTCTGTTCTTCTCCCTCTTCCAGGCACTGGTGCCCCTAATGAATACTCTGGTCTAAACCGCGAAAATACAAGAAATTGGGACTGGTTACTCTGTGAGGTTCGTAGCTATGATGGACAGATTTTGGGGAAAAGGAAAACACTGGGGAAACATGAAACCTTGGGTTCTTTTTGAGAATGAGGTGCCAATTTAGTGATAGTAATCAGGGTGTGGCATATATTGTTGCCATCATAGAGTGGGGAAGGGATGAGGAAATTGCTAGTTTCTTACCTTACCTGCTTTGTCAGTTTCCTCCAGTTTGTCATAGCTCCCCGTCTATTTGTCTTGCTTACTTAAAAACAAAGGAGATGGAGCTAACAGCCCTTGGAAGCCAATAATGGGGTTTATAATTTTATCCTTGTCCATCTCTTTTCCCCTAGGTCTCTGGTGCAGTATTGGTCTCAGCTGTGGTGCAGGTGGCATGTGGAGTGTCAGGTGCCTGTGGCTGGATTGCCAAGCATTGTGGGCCGATGGTTCTGGCTCCAAGCCTTGCTGTCATTGGACTTTCAGCATACAGGCCTGCTGCTCTTCTCTGCTCTGAAAACTGGGGGATAGCCATGCTGTATGTTCCTCAAAGCTCTTATTATTAGCTTTCTTCAAAAGATCCTCCAAGAGTGTAGGCACTTCCCAGCCTCTCCTAACAAGGGCACTCAAGGGAGTGAAGTGTGAGCATGGACAGGGTGAAGATTTCCAGCCTTTTCTACTTCCTGCTTTTTCTAGCTGGGGGCATTGTAAGGCAACTGGGCATATTAGTGCCATACTACAAAATCAGATACACTCATAACAGAATAAACATCTACGTTCTGAAACTGTCAGCTTTCAATTCAAATGTAGACAAATGGCCTTGAACCCACAAGAACTACTATTGTGGGGATGAAACTTGTGTTTGCCATTTCAAAAGTTGAGTTCTGTCCTGTGAAACTCAACCATAATTCAAAAAGTTTGCCAATATTCATATGTCTTTTCAATATTCAAATGTTGAGACATGAAATTAATTTTCATTTAGTTTTTGCAAGACTTCAAATTTCGGCATTTTACATTTTCAGATGTGCTAATTTTTCTGTATTTGTTTTGGTGATGATATTAGTGCTAGAGTGGGTTCTTCAGGATACGCTGGTCCTTTCTTGCCTCTTTCCTAGCATGGAGCAGGGAATGATGTTGGGAGAGACTGACTGACATGAGGAAATCTACTCTGATTCTTTGTGTTGTGCAAGTCCAGCAAGGCAGATGTTAGTGTTTGCATATTTGTATACAATGAAATGCCCTGTACCTATGGCACTATTGTGCTGAATATCACTCACTCTCCATCTCTTTTAGACTTGTGTTGCTGAGTATTTTGCTATCACAGCACCTGGCTTCCTGTCGGTTGCCCCTCTGCCAGTGGAGCCGGGCAGGGGGCCTCTCTATAAGATCACGTAGCCCAAACCTTCATATGTTCTCGGTATGAATTCATGAACCACTGTCCAATTTCCATCGTGTTCACTACTGCCCTGTCGTCTTGCTCTAATCTGTGCAACCTTGAGCTGAGAGGTATTCCAGACTTTTATACTAATTGAGAAGTTGGATATGTTTGCAGTTTACCCTAATGATGACAGGAAGCTCCAAGGATGACTGGCCCTATGACCTGAAGGAGCCATGAGCTGACTGGTTGCTCCGATGCTATGGAGCTCCATGGCATGTTTATACCATAGACTTTGAGCTTTCCCACACAGTGATACTTTCCATTATAGCTGTGGCTTTCAGTGCTGCACAGCAGCAATAGGGCTTCCCTATGGAGGGTTTCACTGCATTTTCCCTGTCCTAGTCTCCATGGGGATCTTTTTGGAGGATTTTTTTAACCAGTAATTGACGGCAGTATACCATAATATTGGTATGTTGATATGTCAATTACATTTTTTAGAAATCTCAAAAGGCACCCAACAGTGAATCCTCAGTATCCCCCCACCAAACTACACTTCTTTGAGGGAAACTATCATTAAACTAGGGTGTGTGTGTGATGTAGCTAGATCAGATGTCTAGAGTCCTTTCCCCTCCTCAGAGGTCCGCACTGCACAAATTTACTTCAGGATTGTAGCTTAATTCCCAGACCCAGCCTGCCTCTCCTCTTCTCCAAAGCCCACCAAGCAATATACTGTTTGGTCATAAAGCACACCTAAATTTTGGGTCCTAAATCACACCCATACATGTTTCCATATATAGTCCCATCCGAATCTCATAGCGCCAGCCTAAACACCTGTTCAGGTAAATGGCAATTTGAAAACACAAATAAATTAATCGTAGTCTGGAGTGAGTAATGTCCTAAAGGATGGGGTGGCTTGTCTTGGTGGAACGTCGTGTTTCCCGACATCGTGTGGACCAGGCCCAGGGGTAGCAGGGCACAGGAAGGTCAGGTGGCATCTCACTTGTACTTTGTATTCCGGCAGGTTCTGTTGCCAGTCTCTGGAATCTGGCTTGTTTGTGGGATTCTGAATCCCATCCCAATTCCGTGGGATGTGTTGCACCCTTCCATGCGTCATGTGACCCTCACCAACAACACCCTGCAGTCCCCGTGGCTCCAGGTGCCTTATCCAGGTAGTAGGAGGGCTGACTGAACGCTGCCCTTTCTCTGGGCTGGTGGTTGGACTTCACTCCTCATCTTTCCTTTTCTTTATTCTGCAGGTGAACAGGGCTGGCCTCTACTCAGTACCTCTGCAGTAGCCATCGGTGCTGCAATGGGTGTGGCTGCAAGTATTAATTCTATAGGCTGCTATTTGCTTTGTAGCAAAGCACTGAGGGAACCACCTGCGCCTCAGCATGCATGCAACAGAGGGCTCTGTGCTGAGGGCCTAGGCAGTCTCCTGTCTGCTCTGCTGGGGAGTGTGTCTGGAACAGCATCCAGTATGCCGAACGTCTGTGCCAGCCATCTGACTCAGGTATGTGCATGGGGTGAGGGTGACGGACAGATACAAAGTGAGCTCTCAGGTCTCTCACGGGATCCGCTATGGTGCTCAATGGGTAACAGGCACATATTGGAGCCCCCGTTTCAAAGACTGCCGTAGTCTAAGGCCCGATACTCCATGCAACTGCCTTATCCGGACTCAGACCATTTCTTCATCTGGTCGAGCGTTGTCTACGCCAGACTGCTCAAGGTTTCAGAGAGAGATTTTTCCCTGAAATGCTTGAAATCCAATTTAACTGAAGATACTAGAGACTGAAGGGAAAGACTGGGGAAAGACTGAAGGTCAAAGAAGACGGGGACGGCAAAGGATGAGATGGTTAGACAATGTCATCGATACAACGAACATGAAATTGAGCCAACTTCAGAGGACGGCGGAAGACAGGAAGGCCTGGCGGGAGCTGGTCCATGGGGTCGCGGAGAGTCGGACTTGACTGTGCGACTGAACAACAACAACAACTAGAGACTGAACATGAAACGGTCTGTATGCAAAGCACATTCCCTGTAACCAAGCCCATTCCCTTTATATCCACCTAGCTGAGGCTTTTGATGTTATCCAGGGTCACAGCCTGTAACCAGGTAATGCTCTGTGTCTCCCATTACCCTTGCAGTCTCCTCTCCACTTCTTTTGCTGGCTGTTTTGTTCCCTGGTAAAATGCCCCCCCCCCCGGGATTATATAGTAAATGAAGACAAAAAGAGGTATCGGAGTGTAGGTTGCATCGGGGAGGGATAACATCCCAGAGAAGAAGGGGAAGAGGAGCAGATTGGATTTATACCTCACCCTTCACTACCCGAGGGAGTCTCAGAGCCGTTTCCCTTCCCCTCCCCACAACAGACACCCTGTGAGGTAGATGGGGCTGAGAGAGCTCTATGGGAACTCCTTGTGAGAGAACAGCTCTGAAAGAACTTGTAACTGACTCAAGGTCCCACCAGCAGCTGCATGTGTAGGAGTGGGAATCAAACTCTGTTCTCCCAGATTAGAGTCAAACTGCTTCTTGGACCATACCCATCCATAGGTAACCTTAGTGTCATGGTCAGTGGGTTTGAGGAGAAGGGGAAAGCCGATCAGGTGAAAAGCAGGCCTGTCTTTTAAGTGACAGAACAAATGACTTCTCTCATCTGCGATGCGATTAGACTTCTGTCCACCCACCCACCCTCCATTTTCTTCACCTGGGCAGCCCCTGCCTGGTCACTTTAAGGAATCCAGAAGGATCTATCGGATGAATGTGTGTGTGTGGGAAATACAGCCAGCTCAGTAGGGCTGTGTTACAGCAGAAGCACGTTCTTGCACCCTGTTTTTTCAAAATTTCTTTTACCCATCAAGGTAATTTTTGTAGTGTGCTTTTTAGCCTGTCTGGGCCCCTCAAGATGGTTAACAACAATCAACACAACTGTTCAGCATTAAAACCTTATCATAAAATCATCCCTAGAATGCAATAAAAGAGGGCAAGATGTCATCTAGGGGCTGCGGTTGGCTCAAGTGGTTAAGACGCTGAGCTGCAGACCGGAAGGTCGGTAGTTCAGTAGTTCGAGACCCGAGTGCAGCATGACGGAGTGAGCTCCCGTCTCTGGCCCCAGCTCCTACCAACCTAGCAGTTTGAAAGCAAGAAATTGCAAGTAGATAAATAGGTACCACTTCGGTGGGAAGGGAACAGTGTTCTGTGCACCTCGGTGTTTAGTCACAACGGCCACATGACCACGGAAACGTCTTTAGACAGCGCTGGCTCTTTGGCTTGAAAACGGAGATGAGCACCGCAACCCTAGAGTCGGATTCGACTGGCTTTCGAGAAAGGGAAACCCTTTACCTTTAAGACGTCATCTAGTATTCAACTGGTCTGACATCTTGTATTTCCTCCAGGAGGCCTGCAGAACGGCACTAGCCTGCCCTCCTAGGGGAGAGAGATCCACACAGCCTGAGAAGCTCAGTTTACTAGATGGCCCTCCCACAGTTCTCTGCCCGTCTCATGTCAGACAATGCAGGTTTATTTATTTACTCATTATTAATTAATTTATTTATTTGCTATTTCAATTTATATCCCGCCCTTCCCGCAAGCAGGCACAGGGTGGGTCACAATAACAGATTCCAATACCGTCTTAAAATGATCCAGTTAATAGATACCAGACATTAAATTAATACAATAAAACCAGTTGAAAACAGTTAAAGTGGGCAGTGCAGCCAATTTCAATTTTCAGTTTCTGTGGCTAGGAAGGAATGGTCTGGAGCGGAGCCAGAAAGGTCTTGTTCCTAGCAGCATCCTGCAACAGCAGCAGGGAGGCCAGCCGGTTAGATGACTGCTGCCTCATGGACCAGCTCCGTTTTGCAGGCCCTGCAAAAATATAACAGGTCCTGCAGGGCCCTGATCTCAAATTGGAAGCGTGTTCTACCAGGCCAGGGCCGAAAAAGCTCTGGCCCTGGTTGAGGCTAGGCAGACATCTTTCGTGCCGGGGACAACCAGCAGATGTTTGTTCGTTTATTATGGTCTTTAGACCAGCATACAGTTAATCAGACATAAAACACAATTAAAAATTCCAATTTAAGAGCTTTTAAGGTGCAATTCCCGTAATTTGAAAATTAATGCACAAAATCATCTGCAGAGTGCCTTGTTGTCTGGGGCACATATGGGGAGAGGCGGTCCCTTAGGACTGTCAGTCCTAAATTTCTAGCCCGCCATCTCCTACATGGTGAGGCTCGGGGCAGGTTACAACAATACAAGATCACAATATAACAATATAATACAAATGTAATACATTTCAATAAAACAATCAGCGACATCAATAAATTATTAAAATCCAGTTATTTGTGGCGCCAATACAGCTATATTTGAGGCCGCTCCATAAATGTGCATAACAGAGGGTAAACGAATGTTGTGGGAGGTGGGTGGGTGAGAAGATACCATATAAAATGAAGAGGCGCTGGAAATGTGCTGGAAACATGCTGGGAAGGCCAATGCTGGTAAAGTTCCACTGCCTCAATCATAGGCCCGGTTGAGGAACATCTCCGTTTTACAGGCCCTCCAAAACCGTAATAAGTTCTGCAGATCCTGGAACTCACCTGGGAGAGTGTGCCACGAGACCAATGCCAGGGCCTCCTCTGGTCGATAGGGATGCCAGTCCCCAGGTGGAGGCAGGGGATCCCCTGATTATTTGGACTGTCCCCAGATGCCGGCCACTTGGCCGGCAGGGGGAAGCCCCATCCCCCAACAGCTGTCCGCAGCCCCGCTTGAAAAGGGTGGGGGTTGTGCATGCCCACCCTGCAAGCAGTAAATTTGCCACCTACAGGGCAGGCTCTCACAGCACCTGGTCTTTTGAAGTGGGGGCTACCTGCACCTGCTCTACAAGCCACGAGTTCGCTGCTTGCAGGGCAGGTGCGCGTGTGGTGCCCACTCTTTTAAAGCAGGAGCCGCTTGCACCGGCCCTGCGAGCCGTGGGCTCGCCGTCTGCATGGCAGGCGTGTGTGGCACCTGCTCTTTTGAAGCAGGAGCCCCCTGTGCTTGCCCTGCAAGTGGCGAACTCACCACTTGTAGGCCAGGTGCACAGGGTGCCTGCTCTTTTGAAGCGGGGGCTGCTCGTGTCTGCCCTACAAGTGGCAAACTTGTCGCTTGCAGGGCAGGCATGGGTGGTCCTCACTTTCCCCCAACCATTTGGGGGAGGGGGGGCATGCGCAAACAGTGCTGCATCCCTGACACAATGATGGCACTTTATGTGACATCATCATGTCAGGGATGGCCCCTGCCTCTCCTGGCATGCCCCCCAAATCCCCCCACGGGGGGGGGTGTCACAGCTCAGGTGGGGTGTCACCTGAGTGCGAGGAAGCCCCGTGAAGGCCCTCCCTGGCCCCAGGCAGGCAGGGGTAGGGAGAGGCGGGGAGGAAGCAACTTACCCTCCCTCTTCTCCTGGGCTGAATGAGGGCCGGAAGCGGGGCGGCTGGAAGCAGGGGGCGGGGCTTCGTCATGTGCCCCGCCCCCACACTTCACCCGGGGGAACTGCGATCCCCCCCCTCTGATAATAATAAAGTGCTAGTCTTATCCATTAGTGCTGATTGGACTTCAGATGTCATAAAAAGGGGGGGGGGAATTGGCACGGGCATAACACTCTTTGAAAGACATACTGAGAGAGATGATCCTAAAGGTATGTCGGTCCCAGGCCGCATAGGACTCTGAGCGTCAATACCAAAACCTTGAATTTGATCTGGTACTCAACTGGAAGCCAACGCAGCTGGTGGAGCACTGGTTGTATATGTGCTTTCAATGGTGTTCCTGTGAGAACACGCGCCGCCGCACTCTGGACCAGCTACAATTTCCAGGTCAATCTCATGGGTAGCCCTGCACAGAGCATATTACGGTAATCCAATCTGGAGGTGACCACTGCATGGATCACTGTGGCTAGGTCATGGGGGGACAGGTAGGGAGCCAGTTGCCTGACTTGTCGAAGAGGAAAGTATGCAGACCTGGCAAAGAGGAATGAATGTATGAATCCATTGGTAGTGAGAGGCATCCAGAGTCACGCCCAAGCTCTTAAACGTTGGCGCTGGTAATAAAAACACCCCATCAAGTGCCGGGAGTTGGATCCCCAATTGGAGGGGAAGGAGACGGAGATTGGATTCATACCCCACCCTCCACTACCCGAAGGAGTCTCAGAGCAGCTTACAATCTCCTCTCCCTTCCCCTCCCCACCAGAGACACCCTGTGAGGTAGGTGGGGCTGGGAGAGCTCTTTCGAGAACTGCCCTTGAGAGAACAGCTCTGAAAGAACTTGTAACTGACCCAAGGTCACACCAGCAGCTGCATGTGGAGGAGTGGGGAATCAAACCCATTTCTCCCAGATTAGAGGCTGCGCTCTTAACCACGACACCAAACTGGCTCTCAGGCACAGGACCTCTGTCTTCGATGGATTGCGTTTCAGCCAACTCCGTTTGAACCGATCTGCCACAGCTTCCAAGCCCTTGGCTAATACATCTGGGAGGCATGTTTGGTCCAACTTACACAATAGCAACCTTGGTAGGTGCTTTCTAAAGCTTAGGAGACCTGGCCCATATAGAAACTGAATAAAGCTTGCCTGTTAAGAAATTGCAATGAGACTTCCTGTAGTGGCTTTTTGTTCCTGAGGAAGGACCAGAAGTCCGAAACTCTGAACAATACCTAGGAAAAGTGTTGATATCTATTCCAGACTTCATTGTTTCCATTTGTGAAATTTCTATTCTGGACTTTGTTCTTTCCCTTTGGGATATTGTGGACGTTTGTATTTTCCTATCATGGATTACATGTGTTGAATTACCTTTGTGTTGAAGTCTCTTTTTGTTAACTTTGGTGCGGGTTTGTGCAGTACACAGTTGTTATTTTCTGTTTTTTTGGCCACGGTATCCAGTTGGCCGTCCATTGACATAGCTGGGTGTCATAAGCATACTGGTGGCAACCCAGCTCGAAGCGCCACATCAGCTGGGTGAGGGGGTGCATGCAGATGTTAAACAACATGGGTGAGAGGATCGCCCCTGGTGGGATGCCACATACCGGAGGCCAACACGGTGAAACCCTCTCCCCAAGCACCACCCTCTGTCCCCCCACCATGGAGACAACATGAGACAAGCCACTGCAAGTCTGTCCCAGAAAGGCCACAACCACTGATCTTTATTCTTTTTTTAAAATCCAGGCTACCTCAATCCGCTCAGTGTGGGTTAGTGCTCTGGCGTGCATCCTGCTGGGCTTATCTCCTCGGCTGACGGGACTCCTTGCCACCATTCCTCTGGCAGTTCATGGTAACAAATGCTTGCAGTCCTCCCAGTATTACGTCTTCCTGCTCACAGATTAAGGCAGCTCACAGTACCAAGCTTCTTTTATGTATATGTTGGGGAAATGAACTAGCGCCACCAGCTCCCAATCAAAGAAATCAAACGAAAAAAACGGAATGATCCACGCTCGCTCTGTCACTTCATGGCAGCCTCATGTGAGACGGCACTTGCGGGCTGAACACCAGTAGATGGCCTCACCCCCCCCCCCAATTGCTTGTTGTCTTCTTCTGAAGTCAGTGTTGCTGTTTTTTTCTCTTTTTCACCTCAGGAGGAATGCTCTGTGTGACATATAGCGTGGCTGTGGGCACTGGCATCTCATGCTTCCAATACACGAACATTGACTCAGGAAGGAACATCTTCATTGTGGGCTTCACCATGTTCATGGGACTGCTGGTTCCGAAATGGCTTTTCGCTGCTCCAGAGTCCCTGGCCACAGGTGCTTTACATTTTCAGGGCGGCGGGGACAACAAAAGCTTGAGAGGCCATAATCTGTGGTACAGTCAAGGCATCATTGTTAAGATCCCGAACACTGTTTAAAAGGTGGTTGGGCTGTCATAGGGGATAAGGCTTCAATGAAGGGTTCCAAAAGTGACTTTTCTGAAAGAGCACTTCATGGACTGTGCCCTCACTTTGTTCTTTCCAACTGACTTCTAGATGCTCAGTAAATTTATGTCAAATAGTTCTTTCAGTGAGTCAATTCTGCTAGTACTGTGTCTGACTCAGGGGCGGTCGATATGAAGTACCATTTCAGCCACTTTCTTTTTTTTTTTTTACAACATATTTTATTAGGTTTTGCCTTTGTAACATTATAACATACATATACACATTGGTGTATTAAGTACATAAAGATTGTAAAATGGTATTGTTTTGGAAGTATGCAATAAAGGGTGAGTAGATATCTACATAGATTTATGCAATGATATATACAGGATACAATTGTTGACTTTCAGCTTACAACAGTTATAACTTTAGTGGATAGAGCCACTTTCTTAATGGTAATGTATAGAAGAAGAAGAAGAGAAGGGAAGAGATTGGATTTCTCCCCCGCCCTTCACTACCCAAAGGAGTCTCAGAGCGGCTGACAACCTCCTTTCCCTTCCCCTCCCCACAACAGACAGACACCCTGTGAGGTAGGTGGGGCTGAGAGAACTCTTGACAGAAACTGCTCTTTTTCAAGAACAGCTGTGCCAGAACTATGGCTTGCCCAAGGTCATCCAGCCAGGTGCAAGTGGAAGAGTGGGGAACCAAACCCGGTTCTACCAGATTAGAGTCCACGCACTTAACCACTTTACCAAACTGGTATGAAATATACACCAAAAAGAAGGAGAGAAGAGATTGGATTTATACCCCGCTCTTCACTACCCAGAGGTGTCTCAGAGCAGCTTACAACCTCCTTTCCCTTCCCCTCCCCACAACAGACATCCTGTGAGGTAGGTGGGGCTGAGAGAGCTCTTCACAGAAATGGCTCTTTTTCAAGGACAGCTCTTATCAGAACTACAGCTTGCCCAAGGTCATGCAGCCAGGTGCAAGTGGAGGAGTGGGGAATCAAACCCGGTTCTCCCAGATCAGAGTCCGCCCACTTAACCACGACACCAAACTGGCTGGCTTTCATCCCCGTCCAACTGTCTAAGGCCAGTGATTGCAGTGTTAGAGCTGACGGTCTAAACTTCTCTTCTGAACGGCACTGATTTGGAAATGAAGCTGTGGCGTGTACTTTTTTCAGTTGAATCAGTGCCTTCACCTATAGGTAGGGTTGCCAACCTCCAAGCAGTGGCTGGAGACCTCCCACTATTGCAACTGATCTCCAAGAGACAGAGATCGGTTCACCTGGAGAAAACGGCCACTGTGGAAGGTGGACTCTATGATTAAAGTCCCTCCCCAAACCCAGCCCTCCTCAGGCTCCACCCCCAAAATCTCCAGGTATTTCCCAACCCGGAGTTGGTAAAACGGCCACTGTGGAAGGTGGACTCTATGATTAAAGTCCCTCCCCAAACCCAGCCCTCCTCAGGCTCCACCCCCAAAATCTCCAGGTATTTCCCAACCCGGAGTTGGTAACCCTGCCTATAGGACACTCCTGTATTTTTAAGATCAGCAAATTAAACTCAATTCTACATCCTGCCTCCGTGTGGGGGGTAGATCTGGAATTATATGCAACAGTTTGGTGTAGTGGTTAACAGTGCGGACTCTAATCTGGGAGAACTGGGTTTGACTCCCCACTCCTTCACATGCAGCTGCTGGTGTGACCTTGGGTCAATTACAAGTTCTTTCAGAGCTGTTCTCTCAAGGGCAGTTCTCGAGAGAGCTCTCTCAGCCCCGCCTACCTCACAGGGTGTCTGTTGTGGGGAGCGGAAGGGAAGGAGATTGTAAACCGCTCTGAGACTCCTTTGGGTAGTTGAGGGCGGGGTGTAAATCTAATCTCTTCTTCCTCTTCCAGGGTGATTAGTCATACTGGCAATAATAGTTTTAGATATAGTCAGATGAAGACCAGGCCTACCTTGTAGCCTCCAACATCAAACTGACAGGATTTTTAAATTATCTTGCTTGTGTTTTATTACCTGGATCCGTGAATTATTTTAACCTGGATCAATTTTTAGTAACTTGTATTACTTGTGTTTGGTGCTCTACTAGGGTTGCCAAGTCCCCACTGCCCCCCAGTGGGGGATGGGGGGCAGGGTTGCCAGTTTCAGGTTGGGAAGCTCCTGGAGATTTGGGGATGGAGCCTGGGGAGGACAGGGGGACCACCTCTGTGGGGGGCCGCGTCATAGAGGAGTCCACCCTCCGAAGCATCCATTTTCTTCGGGGGAACTGATCTCTGCAGTCTGGAGATGAGGTGTACTTCTGGGAGATCCCCAGGTCCCACCTGGAGGCTGGCATCCCTATGCTCTTCTTGTATTATATTTTCTCTTTAATATCTGCTGTTTTATTTTTGTTGCTGCTATACAGAATGTTAATGTGATTTCTATTTTATCATTGTAAGAAGGCTTGAGTATATTGTTAATAATAGCAGGGGAGAACTTCTAAACACAAATAAATTATACGTTCAGGAAGTCCTATATTTTGAAAAAATTACCTTGTGCATTCAACAGAAATATTTGGTCAATACCAATTAAAACTAATTACTATCTGAGATAACTACAGTGCAGTCCTATGCATTGAAATCCATGGGCCTAGACTGCAGTATCTGTGTATAGGACTGCATGGTCAGTGAGGTAACTTTGAAGACTGGGAGGAATACATGCAAGAGTGTTTCTGAGGTAACCGTGATGCTTTCTCTACAGGGTGTGTCCCTGTAGACCTCTTCCTCCTTTCTCTGCTGATGGTTCCTGCATTTATTACTGGAATCCTGTCTTTCTTTTTAGAGAATACAGTCTCAGGTGAGAAGAAAGCAACAGGTTGCTTTACGCTGATGGTTTACAGTTATGACCACTCTGTGCTCAGCACTAGTGACGTTTCCATTGTTGATTGTTCTTAAGAAACTTAATTCTCATAACTGCTTGACTGTAACAAGAGCAGATAGTGTCCTTTTTCATGGCACAGGGACAGCTGATATCACATTGTGATGGGAAGCCTTTCTGTGATGGCCACTGAATGGGAATTCTTTAAGAATAGTCTGGTTGATTAGTAACGATTGCTACCATTGTGACTGAGGCAATTTTAGTACAGGGAACTGGTAATGTTTTTAAAGTGTGTTGTGGGAGGGGAGGGGAGGGGGAGATCAAGGCAGTCAGGATGTGATGAATGTTGCCCGCTTTTCTGGTGCATTTGTATATCTGCTTATTTAATCCTCACTGAGTTCAACCCAATGAGGTAGGAGAACCAAGGAGAAGCTCTTAGAGAAAGCAAAGTTGAAGAAATTGATGCATTTAGTGACAGTTTTTCAAACAGCAATATTAATATTTAGAAAAGGAGACAGAGTGGAAACAGGATTGTATATCTATATTTGTTTTGAGTCTTCTAACCACCTTCCCTCCCATTAGTGATAGATCATGTCATGTTTTACTCACTCCGGGGTTTATTTATTTATTTTTGTTTTCTTTGATTTTCCCCCCTGTGTGCTTATGTTTGTGCATAAGTTTGTTCAGGGCTATTTTTGGGCAGGAACGCACAGGAACGGAGCTCCTGCGGGCTCCTGAGTTGGCCACGCCCAGCAGGAGCTCATTAGCATAACAGGCCACACCCAAGAGCAGAAACTCATTAGAATTGGATACATTAGGGGTGTGTGGCCTAACATGCAAAGGAGTTCCTGCTTCAAAAAAAGGCCCTGGGTTTTGACAACAAGCAAGGTAAACAGAATAAGAAGCAAAAGGTGGGTGTGGCTGAATGACCACACTTCTGGTAACATGGGGGTGTGGCCTATTATGCTAATGAGTTCCTGCTGGGCTTTTTCTACAAAAAAAGCCCTGAGTTTGTTGAGGCCTACTTTGCTCCTCTTTGATGCATGCTGATAGCATGATTTATGAAGCCCTAGCTGAGGCTAGCACAGCCATTTATTTGATTAGCTGGTAACTTTGCACACCTGCCTGGGAGTGAGTGCCACTGAGTCCCATCAGAAATTGCTACTTTCTCCAGTGAAACAGCCCTGTAGATCAGTTGTGATTCTGGGAGAACTCCGGGCCCCACCCGGAAGTTAGTAACGACATCCAGCCATTGCTTCCTCCAAGACAGCTTCAAGCATTCCTAGCAATTAACTTATTCATAGCTCTGCTCACTCTTTTTGCTTCATTAACTTTCCCACCTTTCCCAGAACTATATACCTTTGTTCTTGTAAGATCTCCAGGCTTTTCAAAGGCAGAAGAATGATGATTTTTAAAGGAAACGAGAGTGCTGAAAACCTGAATATGTGGCACAGTCTTTTTATTCAAAAGGAGTTAGACAAGATTATTCCTTGGCTAAAAGCAGTTTTGTTTGGATTGTCGAAATCAAGATGCGTAGCATGTTAGGAAGGACATGAGACAAGGCAGATATAGATCTGGCAGAAGGCAAGTTTTTGAATCAAGAAGTTGCTTCTTCATCACAACATGAAGCACTCCTTCATCAGTCAAGCCTTAGCTACAAGAGTAGCCTTTTCTGCCCGGTGATGATGGGGATCCTTCTGCAGCTGGAGTGGGGTGGTCTATCTGTTCCCCTGCTTCCAGAGTTCATAGGAACACCATGCCATCATAACACCTCTTAAGGGATGTTTGCCCATTACTCAGATCATGACTGCTTTCGTAGTCTTCCCCTGGATGAGAAGGGTATGCCTGTACCTGTAAATCTTAAGTAGTTGTTCTGGTTGGATAGGCTAGGCTGCTGCAAGATGCAGACAACTAGTAGCACCGACAATAAATATTCCAAAGCTTACTGATCTTTTAAGTTGTTATGTGGTTACTTTTAGGTACCCTGCAAGAGCGTGGATTGCTCAGCCACCTCGTATCATGCAAACCGGAAACAGCAGAGAATCTTCTGAAAGAACACAATATGAATTCTGCACAAAGATACAGGCTGCCGCGTGTCCTGAGAAAGCAACAGCTACCTTCATGGTGCAAGGGCTTCCCTTTCTGTTTTCTCTGTCCCCCAGAAGAAGCAAAAGAGGCGGCTGTGA